AGATTTTAACGCAAAGGCTATTGATACCTTTTACACTGCGGACAAACAAAATAGTTGATAAATATGGTGGAGCTTGACTCGGGAGAATGAAATTGAAGACCATAATTATCAACCATAAGTACAGCTGCAGTGGTGTCTTCAATTTCATTCTCCCGAGTCAAGCTCCGTATGAAGATATCCAAGAAGAAGATTGCCTGATGAGTCCAGCGGGGACGAAACGTACGTCTCAATCGAGCTATGTCGTTGCTGTGTCATCATCTATGTGCCATGCGCTACTTGATGTACCAGTTTGCTATGCCGGATACCGCCAGCCATGCATCGACCAGGCGCTAGGCGCGAACTTATGGTGGTGGTGGTGAGAAGGATAGCTCTGTGCCAGAACTTTGCAGCCTAGAGTGTGGGCAGGCGTGTGCTTACCGCCATATTGCCAAGTGTGTCTTTACCACCATATTTATCAACCATAAGTACAGCTGCAGTGGTGTCTTCAATTTCATTCTCACAAACAAAATAAGTAAAAATATCACGTCCTGTATGTGTCACTTGACGTCATCTCTAAACAAAAACGCAACCTGCAAGGCAGGAAATTACACGTTTTTTCCTGAACGAAGAATCCGAAACTATGGTCACGTGACGTACGGAATCTATTGATTAATCTGTGTTACAGTGGAACAAGATAAGTATAGTTTGTTGTTACCCTGAGTTAGTATATTTTGTTGCTACTCTAAACTCGCAGGTTCATTACATTATAATTATAAGATTGCCACGTGATCACACTGTCATGAACATATAACTCTCAATTTAACCTCAAATGGGCGTGAAACCTGAAGTAGGCTGGTGCATCTGTAGGTAGGTGTATAAAACTCTGCATTATTCAAAATTGTGATTCTAGTAGGCAACGTTTCAACCTCACACTGGTCTGATGCCGTGGGGTAGGATATGTTTAACAGGCAACTTTTCAACCTCACACTGGTCTGATGCCGTGGGGTAGGATATGTTTTTCGAACTGAGATATCAAATAGAGCATCGCTGGCCATAGGAAAGGGTCTCTAGTTCCAGTCCTGGTTGTGATTGTCAATATTTTCTTCACACCTTCCCATCGGTACCTTGGTCTCAGACAAATGAATGCTTTGTTTTGTTGGGTAGCACGGCGTTCTACATTGTTTTGGAAGTGTGTGTAGGCCTTGACAGATAATGCTAGCATAATTTTTCGCATAATTCCTACCAAAATCAAATAATCGCATAATTCGAAGCAAATTGCATACGAATCGCATAAAATTGGAATAATCCGCCTGTTCGCCTCAAATTCCATACAGTTGTACATGTTCTACAAGTACAAGTACAAGTAGATGCACCGGGAAGTCGTAGGTTTACGACTCCCTTGAGAACATGTCCAGTCCACTACAATCAGTCACGGCAAGAGTACATAAACCAGAGTGTGCAACTGTGCATATCAGATCTGAAACAGCGCAGTTCGTGCACTACGTCACCCTGATGAGGTCAGCCAAGCTGCGATCGCGACGGCGTACAGATCAAATTTTCATGTTTCATAGCCCGGAAATCAGCCAAGTTTGCTTGATTTTAGACGTCCTGTTTCAGGATTTCGGTGTTTTGTGTAACTGTGTACACTGCGTACATCCACCGACAAGTAAAGTCACCAGGCTATCCGTATCAAAAAACCGAAATCAGGACAAACTCAGTGACCTGCACCACCGCGACTGGTTACGCAACTTTTCACCGTACCTGTGGCTTACCATGCCGTCAGAAATGACGTACTGCACGCATTACGCTCCAACAGGAACCATCCCGAGTTGCACACTCTGGTTTATGTACTCTTGGTCACGGTCGTAGCTAGGTCGGACGGTGCGTTGACCCCGTTGAACTTTTGCTACTACAGTACAACGCCCTCTAAAAAAAATTCTGTTATTTTGCACAGAACGATTATACATTAGCATCACATGTACATATATGTGAGCATAATGCGGCGTAATATGATAGCTTTTAGCATAAAAATAGCATAATTCTGCAATGTTTTCAGCAATGCGAAAAGCAGAATTTCACGAAAATATTAGCATAATCTGTCAAGGCCTAAGTGTGTGGGTTACGGCGAGGGCTGCGAACCACCAGCCTGTGGCAAATCAAAGTAATCGAGAGTTTCGAAGTAAGAAGAAAATGTGGGCCAGTAGCTGCTTTGAAGACCACTGCAACATACCGTTGTATTAGAACAGTGCTTGATACATCTTTCTTCAAGCTCAACAAAATGTGAGTAGAGTGTCCCAGGTTTGAGTCCTAGTAGTGACCGGAAATTTTCCCGTTCACACATTTCCATCAAACAATTGAACAGTGAGATAGTTTTGACAAGGAGAAAAAACATTTTCCTACAATGTTGGACATGGGACCCAGGGTACATACATGCATAACAAGTATCAGGTGCGAACTAGAAAACAGCACAGCGCCTCCTCCAGCGAAAACATCCAAAAGCGGCATGCCTGCTCCAGAAGTAGGGTATCCGACTACAAAACTGGACTGATTAAACCATACAGGATTGTTAAACGAAATAGAGGTTTTACTGCATGGTAAATATGGAAACACTTTCCTTCTGTGTAAGAAGTGCAATGGATAAAAAGGAATGAACCAGTGGATATCAACAGGAATACAATGATAATGGTAATGTTTGTTATGCTACATGTGTTGAAATTGGCATAGAAGCAGTGAACTTAGCGTCGACATCAGATTGGGCTGTAAAAGACATTTACGCTATTTGTGTTTCAAAATGGACCCTACACTAACATTTTCCATAATCTTCAAAACAAGTCGCTTTCTGTGTACGGTGGTTGAATTTACATGGTCTTCCATGTGGTTTTCACATTGAAAGACCTGTCACGATAGCTGGCACTTGATCAGGTTCTCTAAGGGATTGATCCGTTCATGAACTGTTAGGTCGTATGTCTTAGTGAAAGACTTCCCACATTGCTTACACGAAAATGTTTTCTCCTCAATTATGAAGTCGTGGAGCCGTGGAGACAATAAGAACAAACTATCCCACGACAAAAGCATTAGTTGTCTGATGATTGCCTTAGCATTTAGCTACGTGCATGAAACGCAGCGTTACAACGTATGTATATATAATTAGTGGAACCATTCTTTTCGACCTTTGAGGTAGTGCCGGGTATACGTCACATGATCTACTACAGTCTGCCCAGTTCTCAAGCATTTGTATTGTTCTCTTGGTACCTCGACACGTTATAACTGTTGACTATTTCGGTGGAGCTAAATTTTAAGAAAGAATCAGATATAAGCGGAATGAACATATCGAGGTGTTAGAAATACCACATAATATCATGATACAAGTGCAATAAAACCACAAAAGGAAATGAAAAAGGTAACACGATTACGTAACCAAAGTTGAGAAACCACTGAACGAAGTGTCAACCTTCGTCGTCGTGTACTTGTATCATGAATATCCTGAGTTTCGCACGATGTAAAAACACCACATTTGAGTCTTAAACGTCATGTACGTTCCTTGCATCCCACTAAATTTTGTGCATTCGTAGGAAGCGAGAGTTTCTACATGTAAGACTAAAATGTTGAGCAGTGGCTGCTTGGATGACTAGTAGTGGTAGAGTGCTTAGTGGTAGAATATGGCTGGCCATAATCAATTGTATCAGGTTGGAGTCTTGGTGGTCCCAGTCATTTTCCCGGTTTCACATTTCCCTCGAACAAATGAACATTGAGGTATTCTTTTTATTAGAAGATTTTAAATGTTTTGACGGGGACTTGAACGGGTCTACACAAATAAGACCAGAGGTAGACATCTCCACACAGGAATAAAGTATCTCACATACAGCACAGCGTGTCTTCTAGGGAAAGGATCCATACCCACCACGCGTGCAGAAGAGTAAAGATGCGCGAAAAAGTACAGATTTTATAAACCACGAGCCACATGATCAGCTCAACTGTTTTTTTTGTGAATGGTAGATATGGAAATACGTATACGAAGTGCATTGAGTAATATATATTTTTTATTTTATTTATTTATTGCAACATCTCAAGACTCGGCGGAAACACCGGCCAATATTACGAGAGTGGGTGATTGCCAACCACGGCGATAGATAGAAATAAGGGGAGGGAAAAAGAAAGAGTAGCAAAACGAACAGCAACAACAACTCCGTAAAGAAAGATAATGTCAAATAAAAGCAGTGAAAAACACAGAGACGCAAAGGACATGTGGATAATGAGCTATGCATGTCGTAGTAAATAAGGGGCGCCACGGATCTTAAACAGGCGGAGTGAGGTATATGGCTAGGAACTGTACAATATATCAACTCTAAAACAATGATAATGAAAATGATTGTGATGGTACAAATATGTAAGTCAGCATGTAAGCAGTGGCCTTTGCGTGGAGTTCAGATTTGGCTACTTGCATTTCCAAAAGGGCCTACAAGTACATGTATAATGAACATTGTCCATAATTTGGAAAAGAAGCCTTTTGTTAATGTTCACATTTTGATAGTCCTCCAAGTGTGTTTTATCATTGACAGAATTTTATTGTTTCTCTCAGAGGTGGATTCCTTCATGTACTGTTAGATTAGATTTCCGAGAGAAAGACTTTTCACATATTTTACACTTGAACGGTTTCTCTCCAGTATGAATGCGTTGATGACCTGCGAGATTTGATGCACTTCTGAACGCCTCCTCACAAACGTTACATTTGAAAGGTTTCTCTCCTGTATGGACGCGTTGATGATCTGTGAGATGTGAAGGTTGTCTGAATGCCTTGTTACATTCTTTACACTTGTATGGTCTATCCCCAGTGTGGATGCGTAAATGAATTTTAAGATTGGAACGGGAGTGAAAACCTTGATCACAGTGATCACAATTAAACCGCATCGCTCCGGTATGGTACCGTTCATGAGTAGGGTGATTGGATTTATCACAGAATGATTTAACGCAGAACTTGCACGTGAAGGGTTTGTCTCCTGAGTAAACTCGAACATGGCGGACTAGAGAGATCGCCAATCGAAGACTTTATCGTACACTTTACACTTGAAAGGTTTCTCTTCTCGGTGCGTACGTTCATGAGATGTTAGACTGGATTGAGTAGAAAATGATTTATCGCAAAACTTACATTCATACGGCTTTTCTACGGGACGTGAATGTCTGTCATCAAGCATATCATGCTGGCGTTCAAGCGATGGCCCAGCTTCCTTGTAAAGCGAAGTTTCGGGTTGAGGGAAGTCAGCTTGAAGTTGATAATCTGCCTCAGAACTAGACTCGGAGACATGCTGATTGTTGTGCGATAGGCTAGACATCCTAAGATCCACTGGAACATGTTCGATATTGTGAACGTCCAGGTCGGCAGATTTGCCTGAGTATTCGCCATCTTCCGACTCATACCCAACGTGTGCGTGGCCTGTGTAGTGATCTGAAACAGCAACGGGATGGTTAGCAGTTTGGTTACTGTTGTCTTGCGATATTTGGCCATTGTCCATTGCTGATGTCATGGGATTAGAGCATGGGTTATCGTCAGTTGCTGTTGAAGGATCATTAGCGCGTGTATCCTTGTTCCTCTGGAACTCTGGTCGAGGTGGCCTGAAGTTGTCTGCTGCATTGTCCAGCCAAGGATGATCTTGAAGCACTCTGGATGTAGATGTTGGTGTGTTTGAAGTGATGAATGAAGAATGCTGAAGTGCAGATTTCGCAAAGGAGCCTCCTGAGGTCGTCTCTGGGTTACCGCTATTGGGGTTTGCGTGGTGATGAGCCGTGTAAGTCATACCGTAAAATGGTATATTTCGCTGTGGGGGATACCCAGTTGACCTTCTGCTGGTCCATATCACTAATGGTGGAAGTGGTGAGAGTGCATCAGAGTCGGCACTCACCTCCGAAGTCTAGTCACAATCATCCATGATCCACTTACTTCAACAATTCTTCCAAACGCAATTCTCTTGCCATGTAGGGCAAAGTATCCGAATTCAATACCAATAGTCCATAGAGCAGAAACAACTCATGCTAGGAGGTTAGTATTGTAATCAGTAGCAACTGTGTGTCCCGAATATGTACATGAACACTTTGAGATAATTTGTCACGTTGATGTCTATTTCTAGGCCAATACATTAACGAGCTGCTCTATAATTATCACTAACACGACCAAATACTTAACAATCAGCTCATGCGATAAATTTGCACGACCTTATCACGAGAGGATGGCGAGAGACATGGCTTAGCATCATAGAACCCGTACATGGTGGCGCAAAACAAAGATCCTTTGTAATGTGAATCGCCCGTCTCCGGTTATCCCTGACCTCTACCATGACAACCAAGCCTACCCAGCCACGAGTAATACGGAAAAGACGAATCTCCTAGCCAAAGTGTTTGCGAGCTACAGCCAGGCGCCAATGCTAACACCTGACCTGCACTCAGCTGGTATTTTAACACCCACGTCCACTGTGAAGTTCTCCATACAACCATTCTCTGTGCAGTCCGTATTTGACACGCTATCCAGACTTCCCATTCAACGTAAAACTGCTGGACTGCTGAACAACCGCATCCTCCGTGAAACAGCTGAGGTCACGTCACTGTCTCTTTCCGCCCTTTTCAACCGCTGCTTGCTGTCCAGTACTCAGCCCAGGGAGTGGAAATCTGCCGTTGTTGTACCTGTATTCAAGGGAAAAGGTAATCCTTCTCACCCAGTCAATTACCGTCCTATATCGCTGTTAAATGCAGTTGCCAAATTGTATGAGTCTATGATTAGCCGTCAGTTTTATTCATTTGTTGAGAGCCATAAAATCATCAGTTCCAGCCAGTTTGGCTTTTGTAGAAAAAGGTCAACAGTTGACCAATTGGTACAGCTTACCTCAATTGTTTCGCGTGCATTTGACTCTAAGTCTTCTTGTGACCAGCTGTTCCTTGATTTTTCTAAGGCCTTTGACAGAGTTAGTCATCACTTAGTTATTCAATCTGTTTCAGGTTGGTGTTCTCTTTCTGCCTGTTCTTGGGTGAAGGACTTCATCAGTGATCGTAGTATTTGCGTTCGCATTGGCCAAACTCTTTCTGACCCTTTGCCCATCACCGCTGGCGTACCCCAAGGTTCCCATCTCGGCCCGCTTCTTTTTAACCTGTGCATCAACTCCTTTCCTGATGCCCCTGCTTCTAGTACCCTATCCCTTTTTGCTGATGCCTCTAATTTAATTCTTGTTTCTCCAGCAAACACCTCACTTCCTATCCATCATGCATTGCTCCAGACTGACATTGATAAGTGTTGTCAATGGTCATCAGCTACTGCCATGACGTTTAACACCAGTAAATGCGTCCACCTACCCTTTCAAAAATATGCATTAGCCCCCGGCCCGTCATCCCCCTTGACAACGAACGGTGTGCCTATTCAGAAAGGTGATAGCCACTGTCATCTCGGCGTGACTATCACTCCTTCACTAAATTTTTCTGACCATATAAAATCTATCACCCATAAGTTTCGCAGTCGTGTTTTTCTGTTGTGCCATATGGCCCATTTCCTTCTGCTTCAACCGTGAATTTGCTCTACAAGTGTTACGTACGACCACTGTTAGAATACGCAGTCCCTGTCTGGTCATTTGCCGTATCCCATTCAGATTCGCTTACGTGAGACCGACTGCAAGCCGTTGCTGCTCGTTCATATCTGCTTTGTAAGACCCGGCACCCTCCTGAGTGGGAAACCCCGAAGCAGATTCTTAATCGTACTTGTGACTGGTCATCCCTGAAGTGGCGTCGTCAGATTCTGTCCTTGCTGTATTTTCATCATGTCTTTTACCAGTTTCCGTCTTTGCTAATTCGTTTCAAATTCAATGTATCCCTTAGCTGTCGTCACCCGTCCTCTATAGTTTTACCTCGTTCTGGCGCCCATTTCCTTAAATCCCCTCTCTTCAGTTTATCTGTGGAATGGAACAAACTTCCAGAACACATCCGCTGCGTTCAGTCCTCTGTCAATTTTCGCATTGCTCTAAAGGCTCATTACTCTCAGCATAGATATTCTCTGACTGGAATTCCGAACTTTTCCGTTTGAGAAATTTTTTTCCTTGAAATTAATCCTTGCTGGTTTTTTTTCATCTAAATGTCCCGCTATTATCTGCAGAGGTGATTTCTTCCCTCGTCGATTTCTTTCCTGCTTTTACCCCTCGATATTTAGGTACTTGTTTCCCTTCTTCCCATGCTTCATCTTTCACTCTCCTCTCCCCCATTTCCCCATTTTTCTTGCGATATTTATGTGGGAGACTTCCGTGATAAGCATCCATTTGCTTTTGGAGAATCCTTTTAAATAAATACAATACAATACAATTTAGCGACGTTATACCGTAAATCGTAGTTCCTTGGTCCTTTTTATTTCCTATAAATCTATAATTGATTCTCTATCCAAGTCGATCATTACATTTAAGTGACACATTATGATCTTTTCACCTCATGAGCTCGCGCCCGGTAACACACACATGCACACTCACACAAACACACACCCACTCCCCACACACAAACACACACACACTATCTCTATTTCCATATTTTTCTTCACCTTAACGCTTGACATGGGATCAGCCAAGCTTCGTGTGGAGTCTGCAACACGTGACAAGAGGTGATGCAATCTGAGACACTTTGTTGTTAGAATCGAAAAACACAAAGTGTCTGCTTTGAACAGATTCATGGTTGATATGGTCTCCTGTGATATGGTCTAGGTAGTACCGGGCATCTGTTACACCCTGTTCTAAGCATAGATATGGGGCTCTTGCTAACTCGTCACGTTATAACTAACTGTTGACAATGTCGGTGGAGCTAAGTGTTAAAAAAGATATAAGCGAAATAAATAGCGTGAGTTCCACACTATGTACAAAAAGCACAATTAAAACAGGAAACATCGTGTACGTTCCTTGCATCCCACCAGCTTGTGTGGATTCACAGGAGACGTGAGTTTCTAAGTCTGCGGACAATATTGAACGGTCACTGATCGGATGACCACTAGTGGTAGAGTGCTGAGTTGTAGGGCATTTCTGGCCATTAGCGATTGTCACAGGTCACAGGATTGAACCTCCGCCCCAACACCATTAAAGCCTGGTTAGCTTAAAACATATAACAACGGATTCACCTCTCCATTTGTCAGAAAAGGCAGTTAGGACACAGTATCCTCTTTGAAAGATCCCATCGACACCAAATTTGGGGTGCTAGCTGTGCTAGTACTCGTCCAAGCTACATGTAGGTCACACGCTGCACTGCATGGCTCTATACTGCCTTCAAGACAGACGTCGTGCGCTATGTTTTGCTGCATAATCACAACATTATGGCACCCAACTCGTTTTGCTGAAAAGAAAACCTAATCTTGCTTGCCCTGTTGTGTTCTTCCACACAACAGATCGTGCTTCTGCAGTGTTTCTTTTCCCCCATCCCTCCCTATCCAACGTATTCAGACCATCATGATAATAATGGTAGGAACTGATCGAGTCCACTTTCACAACTGGTGTTATCTACATGTAGCCATTTCCTGTGGCTCTGCCTTGAGCTATATTACATCCATTAGCATTGCAGCTCTACGATGAGCTAACAGCAGCTCTACTTTGAGCTAACAGCAGCTCAAATTTGAGCTAACAGCATCTCTACTTTGAGCTTACAGTGGATCTTCTTTAGGGTATTAGCATCTCTACTTTGAGCAAACACTCTCACAACTGGTGTTATCTGGCCATTTTCTGCGGCTCTGCCTTGAGCTATATTACATCCATTAGCATTGCAGCTCTACGATGAGCTAACAGCAGCTCTACTTTGAAAGACGTCATAGTATCCGGCTACAATGGAGAAATAAACCGACTTTCACAGGGACAATCATACACACAAACGGACAAGCGCACACACACATGCAGAACAACGAAAGTAGAGTAAGAAATGAACGCATCTAAGAATTATCGGCTCGCATATCAGGTGAAAACATCACAGCAACACACCTACTAAACTACCATAATTATCGCGATAATATTATAATAAACAAATCACAATAATAAAAGTACAGTTTACGAAACCGATTGAACTCACTACGAAGATTTCAGCGCTTAGCATAGGTCGCAATTCTACACACGTCCAACTCCATTCTGTACATTCTCCTAACTCATTGACTGGATATGAACAGAAGGAAATTACTAGCACACCATCGAGCGTGTATGGTAGACAACGATAATGCAAGAAAAAAAGAAGACGACAACAGGAAAGTACGAGGAAAAAATTGCATATTCCCAGCAATATGTATTACGTTGTACGATACATGAAAAGCGCAAACAGAATCATAATACATGTGTTTGAAGAAATTTCAGGATATGACGGTGCCCCCAGAGCAATAACTATAACTGAACAGTTACCAAAAATGCCTATAAGAAAACGAGTGAGAGAGTTTGAAGCATAAACAAGGAATAATGTTTTAAACGCTCTTTGATAGGTTAAAAAGCATTTCCTATAATCTTGAAAACGATACTTCTGTTTTCGGTGTTTTGTATTTCCATGGTCTTCCATGTTATTTTTCGCATTGAAAGGCTAGTCACGATCACTTGTACTTGATCAGGTTCTCTCCAGGATGGATCCTCTCATGATGTGTTAGGCTGGATATCTTAGTGAAAGACTTTCCACATTCCTTACACGAAAATGGATACTCTCAAGTATGGATTCGTTGATGATTTTTGAGAGTTGACATTTCCCGAAATGCCATGCCACATACTTTACACTTGTATGGTTTCTCACCAGTATGGATGCGTTGATGCGCTGTGAGATGTGATTTCCTCGTGAATGACTTGTCACACAAGTTACACTTGTATGGTCTCTCTCCAGTATGGATACGTCGATGCACGGTTAGATCTGATTTCGTCATGAATGACTTCTCGCATGATTTACACTTGTGTGGTCTCTCTCCAGTATGGATGCGTCGATGCCGGGTGAGTTTTGATTTCGTCGTGAATGACTTCTCGCACGATTTACACTTATATGGTCTCTCCCCAGTATGGCCACGTTCATGATCTCTAAGATGGGTATTACGGCGAAACATTTGATCACAGTGACCACACCTGAACGGCTTCTCCCCGGTATGGATAAGTTCATGAACATGTAGGCCGTATTTGTCACGGAACGGCTTTCCGCAGTACTTGCACGGAAACGCATTGCCTACTGAGTGAAGTCGTGCATGACGGGTAAGATAATATTGCGTGCTGAACATTTTGTCACACTCTTTACACTTGAACGATTTCTCTTCTGGATGTGTACATTGATGAGAACTTAGGCAAGACGGAGTAGAAACAGATTTATCGCAATGCTTACATCTATATTGCTTTTCTCCAGGATGTAAATGTTCGGGATCAAGCCTATCGGGCTGGCGATCAAGTGACTTTTCACTTTCTTCGCAGAGTGTATGTTCTGGTTCGGGAAAGTCAGATTGAAGTTGACAAACTTTCTCAGAAAAAGGTTCAGACGTGTGATGAGTGTTGCTTCTTTCAAGATCGCGATGATCGGAATCCGCGGGTAGGCTAGCCACTGAAGAAGACACTGGAAAATGGCCAAAGTTGTGTACAAGCCTTGCGTGAACGTTCATACCAGCAGATTTGCTGTAGTTCTTGCTATATTCATTGTGAAACGCTACTCCCTCGTAGCCTGTGTACTGATCTGAAACGGGTTCGGGATAGCAGTTAACGGTTGGGGTACTGTTACCTTGCGAAATTTGATCCTTGTCCATTGCCGATGTCAAGGAATCCAAACATGGGTTTTCGACAGCTGTATTTGAAGTATCACTGGTCTTTGTATCCTTGTCCCTCTGGATTTCTGGTCGAGCTTCCCTGAAGTTATCTGTGACCATGTCCTTGGGTACATGATCTTGAGGAACACCGGCGCAAGATGTTCGTGATTTCCAAGGGCTGAATGCGGTATTCTGAAGACAAAACTGGGAAGAGGAGACTTCTGATGTGGCTACTTGATTACCACTATTGGGGTATACGTGGTGAAGGGCTGGATAACGAGTACTATAAGATGGTGCAGTTGGCGGTGGGGCACACGCGGTTGACCTTCTGCTTGACCATATCACTAATGGCTGCAGTGGTGAGAGTGCATCAGAGTCGTCACTCTCCTCCGAAGTCCAGTCAAAGTCGTTCATGATTTGCCTACTTCGAACAATTCTCACAACCGTAATTTTTCTTCCTAGCACGGCAAGGTATTCTTATCAAAACAACAAATAAAATGCTTGGAAGTAACAAGAAGTCAATTCAAATAGGAAGACAACACTCCCTAGTTGTAGCCATTAGTTTTGTAAGTAGTAAAGAGCTGGTGTTTCTCTTTAGTAATTGGAAGAACAATGTGCAAAGTCTGCACATCAACACAGTTCATATCTATTTCTGGCACTGAAATTATACCTAATTAAACAATATTATAATCTTGTGAAATCACGCGCATACACTCAATCACATACAAAGGATAATAGGAAAGCTGACAGGATCGCTTTTCTTAAATACAAAAACCCATCCCTCACCCATCTCTCTTATGTAGTTTTCACCTCCAATTCTGACTTGGAATCACACAATTTAAAACATGTGTGTCATGCCGAAGAGGAAAAGGATAGGATGAGGCGATGGTGTGAGTCTAGGCCGACTAGGGACACGTATGTGGGGAGATAAGGCATGAAGAGATGAGGTATGAAAGGATGCAGTATGAAGAGATGAGGTGTGAGGAGATGAGGTGTGGAGAGATGTGATACGATAAGATGAGGTATGAAGAGATGAGGTATGAAGAGATGAGGTACGAAGAGATGAGGTATGAAGAGATGAGGTATGAAGAGATGAGGTACGAAGAGATGAGGTATGAAGAGATGAGGTATGAAGAGATGAGGTATGAAGAGATGAGGTGTGAAGAGATGAGATACGATGAGATGTAGAGTTGTGAAAGTGTAATTGGGCGTTTTACACTCCTTACATCATAGAACAGCATTAGTGTCTAGACTAGACTTCACCATTCCCAGCCACTGGCTATGCAGCTCTGTTTTTGTTTGTGGTGTTGATAGGACGGAGCACAAAGGCCATACAAAATGTTCACGGTTCTTTTCCGCATCGGTAGGAACGCCACCACCCTTCATGGATCAAAGGCAATAATTATTATATTATTAGAAATTTCGGCTAATTTTGACAAGGACTAGAACGGGACTGTACAATACCACATATGGGATCAAAGTTACATACTGAAACAAAGGAACTCACATATTTTGAATCATGTGTGAACTCCCAAGCCGCACAGTGTATCTTCTAGAAGATGAAAGACATTTTAAAGAAAGAACTGTTTTTCTTTACCAAACAGTTGCTAATCCCTTCCCACTTTGTGTACGTGCTCTTCATTTTCTTTTTTCTCTTCTTCCGTGGTTGGTCTCACCCTCTTTCCAATTCAATTGGCTGTCTTGCAATGCAACGAGGTGCAGAAATAAATAAAATAAATAACATGAACCGCGCAATAAAATTGTTTCTCCTTGTTAATTTGGAAATACATTCCTATTGTGTAAGAACTGGAATGGACAACATTAAATTAAACTGTAGATATCAACTGCAATACAATAATAAGGATAAGGTTATTGATGTTACATTTGTTGACGTCAGCGTGTAAGCATTGAAATTTGCATTGAGACCAAAATGTAAGCAGTGAAATTTGCATGGAGACCTAAATTAATTAAACATTTAGAAAAACAAACGTTGGACTGTTAGTATTTGCATGGTCTTCAAAGTCTGTTTTCGCTTTCAGTGACTTGTCGCCAGCGCCGTCACTTGATTAGTTTGTCTCAGGAACGGATTCTTTCTTGGACTATTAGGCTGGAGTGTTTGGCCAAAGACTTTCAACATTCCGGACACTGAAAAGGCATATCTCCAGTATGAATGCGTTTTTGTTCTGTCTCGGCTTCAGTGGCACTTCAGTGCATGGAAAGGTGTGGAGGAGTAGGCACTATGACTCGATGTAGACGATCCAGTCACTGAAGTAGGATCTGCGTGTTGTGCAGCCCTAGATCCGTGAGCACTGGTCTTGGAAATGCCAGTCAGGAATGTGCCGCACGGAATCAATTTTAAGGACTCTTGACAAGATTCTATTTTTTACCTTATATTGCAGTTTAAAAAAAAATTATTAAGAAAGGGTTTGCTCCCCACACCGAAGCTCGCGCTATTCCGCCAACTTTACTTGACACTTGAATAGTGCGAGCTCCGGTGTGGGGAGCAAACCCTTTCTTACAAATCATCGCGGAAGTCGCAACCACTACTTCGTTTTGAAATTATTATTACTATTGACACACTTCAGGCTCATTACAAACATCTTGAAAGTTTTTGTCTTCACAAGTATACTTTAAAGCCTTCTCGTCAGGTGAAATACAGGCAAGGGAAAAGGAACAGGAACAGTAGAATAAATACAGTAAGAAGGTGGTTTGAGTTCTGGTATTGACAGTCAAATTTCCCGTTTACACATTTTCAGCAAACAAATGGACAGTGAGATAGTATTCGAAGAGCTTTGATAAGTAGTAGAACGTTACTATACAATATGACACTTGGGATCATTGGTACCTACATGAATAACATTTTAGCGTCATGTGCAAACCTGCAAACAGTAGAGTACCTCTTCTAGCGAAAAGATCCGTTCCAGGCATGCGTGCTCCAGAAGTAGGATTTCGGTTATACTGCGTGAGGAACGTTTAGCGCAATTGAGTTGCATGGTAAATATGGAATAAAAAACGTTCGTCTGTGTTAGAACTGCAATGGAAAGCAAGAAATGAAAGAGTGTATATCAACTGGAATACAATGACAATGATAATGTTTTGGATGTTACATATGTTTAAGTTAGCATGTAAGCAGAGACCTTTGCATGGGGAATGGATCGAGTTTAAACGACATTTATGCTATTTGCGGTTAAAAAGGGGCCCGTGAGTGGCATTTCCATAATCTGGAAAAAATCTTTCTGTTTTACGGTGTTTTCATTTCCATGGTCTTCCATGTTGTAATTAGAACCTGCGACTCTCCCTGACACTTGATCAGGTTCTCTGAGGGATAGATTCACTCATAAATTGTAATGCCGGGTGTCATAGGGAAAAAACTTTCAACATTGCTCACACGAAATTGTTTTTTCTCCAGAATGGATTCGTTGATGATTTACGAGAGGTGACATTTGCCGGAATGCTTTGCCAGATACTTTACAGTTGTATGGTTTCTCTCCAGTATGGATGCGTTGATGCACCGTGAGATTTGATTTCGTCTTGAATGACTTGTCACACAAGTTACACTTATGTAGTCTCTCGCCAGTATGGGTACGATCATGAGCTCTAAGTTGGGTATTATCTCGAAAAATGTGACCGCAGTAACCACACCTGAACGGCTTCTCCCCGGTATGGACCCGCTCATGAACATTTAGAGCAGATTTGTCACCGAACGGCTTGGCGCAGTATTTGCATGGAAACGGTTTCTTTGCAGAGTGAACTCGTCAATGACGGGTAAGATCAGATCGCGTGGTGAACGTTTTATCACACACTTTACACTTGAACGATTTCTCTTCTGGATATGTACATTCATGGGAACTTAGGCAAGACTGAGTAGATAATAATTTATCGCAATGCTTACATTTATAGGAAAACATGGATGCAGTGAATGGGATTTTTGGTCTTTGATCACTTGCTGGTGAGCTGATCTACTCACCTTCCACCGCTTTAGGAGCTGCATCTGCGCCTTGATCCTTGAAGGGTGGTGGCGTTCCTACGGATGCGGAAAACCCGGCTTCCAGCCGAGTCTCACGCGAACCGTGAAAAACGTTTTTCCACCAGGATGTGAATGTCCACGATCAAGCGAAACAGGCTGGTGATCAAGTGACTTCCCGGTGTCCTCGCAGAGTGACTTTTCCGGTTGACGATGGTTAGTTTGAAGTTGGCAAACTGCCTCAGAAAGGAGCTCGGAGGTGTGATGATTGTTGATCGATCGTGGTTCTTGGGATCCTCAGGTAAGATAGCCACTTGAGAAGACACTGGCACATGTCCGGTAATATGTACACTGGGGCCTCCGTTAACGTTAACATTGCCAGCATTGCTTGAGAAATTGCTATATTGCGAGTCTAACGCTACGTCATCACTTCCTGTGTAGTGATCTGAAACGGGTACGGAATAGTTTACAGTTGGATTACTGTTGTCTCGCGTACATTGATCGTCGTCCATTACCAATGTCATGGGATCCAAACATGGGTTTAAAACAGCTGGGGCTGGATCCTCAATGGACTTTGTATCTTTCCCCCTTTGGATTTCCGGTCGGGGGTCTGTTCAGCCGATAATCTTGAAGTACACCGGAGGAAGACGTTTGCGTGTTCCAAGGACTGAAGGAAAAACCCTGAAAATAACTATCGGATACCTCTGCAGTCGCTATTTGTTCAACACTATCGTGGTTTGCGGGGTATAGAGCTGTGTAAATCGCATTGTAAGGTAATGTAGCTGGCGGTGGAACTGCCCTTCTGCTTGTCCATATTACTAATAGTGGCGATGGTGATTGTGCATCATGGTCGACACACCCCTCCGAAGTCCAGTCACTATCGTCCATGATTCACTTCATTGACCAATTTTCACCACCTTTTAAAATTAATTCTGCTTCCAAATTCGGCAAATTATTCGAATTCAATATCAAAAATTCAAGTAGGAAGACAACTCTCCCTGGTCGTAGCCAATATACAGTATTCGTAATTAGTAGCAGCTGGTGTTCCCCCTTAGTAAGTAGATGTACAGTGTGCCAAGTCCTCACGTAAAATACAGTTCACATCTATTTCTAGCTCTGTCCCTTTACCTGACACAATGTGTATATTCTTGGCATGTCACGCGCTGACACACACACACTTCCACACACATACACAAATCCACACCATGAACTCTCTCTCTCAAATTTCGTTTTCACCTTCACACCTTATTTGGAATCGAAAAATGCATGGCACGCACTAGACTTGAGAAAGTGCAACTTAGACTCTCTGTTGCTACAAATATAGACACAGTTACATGGAGGTTCTTTAGACTTGATGGAGATATTGTAGGAAGGGTTTACAAGATGTGAATGTCATGATATTCAACATTAGCCCCAGCTTTCGGCACTGATATGCATTGAATATCATTGTACTTTTATCACGTTACAGTTGTTGACGCAATGAAAAGACAAAAGAGTGTGTTGCGTGCGCACTAAAAACATGAAAATTAAAACTACAGCTCATGTATTTCCCGTGTTATTGTCCTTGCTATAGTTGGTGAAG